TTTTTTTTTTTCTTTCTAAAGTGATAATATATATACAGATGAGTGTACATATACGGTGAATGACGCCTGTGGCGCTGACGGCAAAAAACCAGCCTAGACTGTGAATAACAAAGAGGTCAGACACGTTTTGACGTTCCTGTCAAAAGAATCTAGTAGGGAGCAAAGCTTTGACCCGCGCTTTTGCGGCAGCCAGCTGCGCCGTCCTGTCCGTTCACGTGTGTCCCAGTACGACATACATGAGCTTAGAAGTGTGGCAGCTTGGGCTAGTTGGTATGGCATGACGATAGTTATAGCGCGAGAACAAAATGACGACACAGAGACAAGAAGGACACGAGCGTTTTGTTCTCGCGCTATGACTATTGTCATACACGAGCATTTTTGAAGGAAATAAATTCTGATAGTTGTGTTGACCCTGTGAGACTCTCACCTTAGTGGGAAACCCTACCTTCGTGGGTTCAGCCACTCCAAGCTTACCGCAACGCTGATGTTTGTGCTTGTGATTGAGACCTCCTACCCGCACCCCCTGTTGTTTCTTGCGATGTTTTTTTTTGTTTGTTTGTCCTTGTGTTTTTTTTTTTTGGTGCCGGAAAAAAAAAAAAGGAGCTATTAATTCAGCCCTCCCTCCCCGCTGCCGAAATCTCCGGGATTCAGAATTCTTGAACTTGACAGTTATGAAAGTTTAAAAAAAGCATATTTTGAGATAATCTCATTTAATGTAGAAAATGTGCATTATTTCAAAAATATAACGAGATAACAGAAAATTGACGGGCCGGTTCAACAGGCACTAGCCGGGTACTCATCACCAATATTATTTTTTTTCTTTTTTTCGTATTGAAACGTCTTTCCTGGTGAGCATCTTTTGTCCCCTGCAGTGCAGCCCTGTGAGCAAAGTAGATGTCAACACAGTTCAAGGGTGCGTAGGCCCTGTACTGTGAAGTAAAATTCCAAAACATTTCAGCACTTTCACATGGGCTATATTGTGATCAAGGGAAGATGCGGGTCGAAAAACGCGAGTTTTTTCAAACTGACGTATTTTTTTTATTTTCACCTGTTTGATACAATTTGTACCTCTACTGTTCTGAAAAAGAAAATGAATGTCGAGGCTTAACTGTAAATGCTTTGAAATTGTATCTAAAGACCGCAAGGTGCCTGTTAAAAGGCTGAAAGTGGGCAGTCTTGGAGCACCTTGCCGCCGAAAATGGGCCGCCGCTCGCCATTGTTGATCGCATGAGCCGAAGAGTCGAGCCTCACTCACTGTTCAACTAACGACAATTTCTCTCGCAGATGTGGTGCAAGAAAGAACATAAAAAAGCACGCTTTTGCGTGTTTTTTGAGCGCCGTGACTGGCTTATCACGTGGTACGGATCGGAGACCGCCATTGGTCGCTGCGCGCCTGTATGTGCTGTGAACCCTATTTGCGAGGTCCATGTTTTGACGAGCAGCGCAGCTGAACAATGCTTTTCTCGTGTATTTATCTGTGTTATGAATGAAAAAAGCCATTGCTCGTGCGTAAAAGCCGTTGTGGCGGCACGCTCTGTAGGAGTAAGCTACGAGCAGCTGGTCCGCTTTAGGGCAGTTGTTGGCGTGCAAAAGCCAATGCATCAAAAGTCATTCACAGACATCGGCTGGAAAGTTCCTGATGCGGCAATGGATGAAGTCAGTGCCAATTTTGTGAGGTCGAAGAAACTTGGAGGGGACGACATTGCCATTGCCATGTACAACGGTATCTGGCACAAACGTAGCCAAAAAATGGCATCGGCACTGTTGTGTTCCTCAAGATGGAGTTTAGATTTCGTAGACCTGTCGCCCCGTGCGGTGGTCTAGTGGCTAAGGTACTCGTCTGCTGACTCGCAGGCTGCGGGATTAAATCCCGGCGCTGGCGGCTGCATTTCAGATGGAGGCGGAAATGTTGTAGGCCCGTGTGCTCAGATTTGGGTGCACGTTAAAGAACCCCAGGTGGTCGATATTTTCGGAGCTCTCCTCTACGGCGTTTCTCATAATCATATTGTGGTTTTGGGACGTTGAACTCCACAAATCAATCAATGAATTCGTAGTCGTGCCGAACTTCTTCCTAGCTTGCACTCGGCACAAGGCTCTGCTAAATGGAGCGGAAGAAATTTGGCAAGCATTTCATGGCCCTGTCTGTAAGCGAAATGTCTGTGAGAAGTCGGCTCGAAAAAGCGAGAAGGAGCAAACTCAAGGTGCTGGCGTATTTTCTTCTTGTAGTGGCAGTGGCCACTACAAGAAGGGTTGTTCCCTTTGGTGTGCAGATTTAGCTGCATATAATGACATATTTCATAAATAAAACCTCAATTTTAACTTTAAAACTCGTTTTTCTCAAAGCACAAATTTTGCCATTTTTTTTCAATGTGCCCCTCCTTTTTCGGGTACTTCTAGTGCTTAAATTTGCATGAAATTTCGCCAAAATTTGTTTCCGAAGTATTACAAATACAATTATCTAGTTTAAACTTATTATAGAATGAAAAATTGTAGTAAGCCTTTACTAGGGTAGGTGAAATATGGACTTTTTTGAGTCTATAATTTTCCATGCCTATTATTTTGTATGTGCTTCCTAATTAGTTATTTGCATTCCACACTTTAGTAGAAACATTATGAACTATGAATGATAAAAAAATCAAGGAAGTTTAGGGATGAAAAGAGAGAGGGGGGGGGGGCAAAAGGGTTACGGTTTTCACTTTGTCATGTCACAGAGCTCAAAGTTATGCAACTTGCAAGAAAACTAATTATATATTTGAAATCAGCATACTAAGCTCTATAAACAGCTCAAGTTTTATTGCTGTAGTGTGAATATTAAAAAAAAAGTGTGTTCGAATAGCATCTTCTCTTAAAAAGTGAGCACTGCATGAAGAGTGCACATTTTCAGTGTTTGGTGTCCAAGGAAAACATTTTTTTGGATTGTGCTCCCACACGACAATTCGACTCTTTAGGGTGTTGAGTTTTCCCATGAAGGCATTCAGCAAGTAATTCTGGAGGAGCTAGTTCTGGATAATTTGGCTTAACAGCCACAATAAAAGATGCTGGAAGGTGTTCTTTATAGATGAATGGTTCACCAATCAACTGGGCTTTGTTGAATTTATGCCAAGTTACTGTGTTCTTCGGGCAAAGGCCGTGGAATAGATTGGTATCCTTCGATGCCATGTGAAAATATGTGGACTTGGACAACTTTTCCCATGTCCTCCAAGCTGGCTCTCTTACACTTAATGGTGAAGCAATCTTTTGGTTCTTGCCACTGATGACATCAATTGGACGTCTCCAGCCAGATATAGATATCCGGGTGGAAGCTTGATGCCTCTGCTTCCTTTCATTTTTATAGTTCTGGGCCCGTACTTCTCTGAATGTGCCAAATGCACTTCAGCTTGCAAACTGTAACCTCTCCATATGGCTATGATGCTTGAGCAGCAAGGAATCCCTTGCGTAAGAATGGGGGCATGCGAGGCTGCTGCTTAAGTTTAATATATGCCATTTTTAGAGAAAAGAAAAATCGCACTGATACAAACAACTGATTCTGTTTCAGAAAAGCCTGCAGATTTCAAATAATGCATAAAGAAAAAGAATGATCTTTTTCAATATTTTTGCTTACCCTGTCACCTTAATAAATATTGTTGCACATTTCATAGCATATTATTTGTGATGCAGTAAATGTAGCTGGTGGCAGATGTGCGCAGGTTAATGTAATGTTCCCATTACAAAAAAAGCCAACACTGTGCATTTTGGGAAACTTGGAAAAGGCAGGAGCAGGAGGATAAGAAACAAAAAAAGATAAGTTGAATGGAAAAAGAGGTTGAAACGTTAACAAAAAAAGAAAAAGAGAAGCCGCTCTTAACGAATTAATAACCACAGTAGACTCGTAAGCAGAAAAGGCAAAGGCAACTAGCAACTTGACACGCATCATTAAGTCAAACACCCTTACGAAGACTGCCAAGACCAAGCAGCAGGAGACGGTGGATGTTCATACGAAAATTCAGGAGTAGTGATTAGAAGCCGCGGCCAATAACAGTGTTGACAGGCACAGGCTCTGCTGCATCCTTGAGATAAATGTGATTCTATCTGTGTAGCACGAACGGTGCATAAAATAGACTTCCAAAATAGTGCGACGATGGTGTGGCTGCTTTGCGATCAAGGCCCAATGCATACCCTTGTATGGCCGCTCTAGAAAGCGAACCACTTTCCCACAGTCTGTTCGGGCTGAGAGTACAAGGTAGAAGGATATACTAGCCTTGTTTAATGCCCACTGAAATAGTGCGCACCTGGGAACGCACTCTTAATGTCTCAGTTCATAACAATGCTCCCCCCCCCCTGCATTCCTAGTTCGTTCCTGCTCCTTGAAGATGGGCGGTGCGTTCTTCTCTGCTTGAATAACAAATGATGGCAGGTCTGGCACGCGGGATGGTGTTATCGCATCTGCTCTCCATGCAAGGGAGATAGGTCGGTTCTTTTTATTTGTGCTTTAGCTGCTTTCGCCGCTTCCGCTCGCGCGCTTTTACTGGCGTGTAAAACGTGCGATGCGCAGGGGGATGGTATCGATTGGGACACTACACAAAACATAACGGCGACGGCCAGTGTCATTAGGGGAGCACATTGAAACGTGCCCCCCCCCCCCCCCCTCAATTTTTTGTGCCATGGCATATATAACGAAATGACCATTTGCCTGCCTGGCTGCGCCGCCCCCGCTTCATATCGGGGGTGCACTGCCCTCCCTCCCCCGTCACAAAATATTTTCTTTAGAATTTCTGCCTACTCCCCTAGCAACAGCCAAAACCAGTCAAAAATGTGTGTGTTCATTTGAGTGTGCGATAAAATGCTCGTGTTTATTTGAAATGTTTGAAAAAATATCTGAGGTAGTTTAGGGGCCCTGGAAACTGTGGGCACGATCGCTTGGTGCCCTTGGGTATCGCAGTAGTAGAGCTACATTTAGCACAAGATTTAAAACTTTACGAGCTCGAGATTTGCGGGTGATGAATGATGTATTTATGCTGCAGGGAGCGCATGCAGCAGGTGCGTAAGTGGCAGAAGCAGATGCGGCAGAAGTTTGACAACAAGGGGGGCCAGGTGCCGGTGAAGCACCGGGAGGCATCGGTGGCTGTGCGTCCCAGCTGGAAGGTGCTGGAAGAGATGGACTTTCCACGCCTGTTCAAGCTCTCCCTGCCGGCCGTCGGGGAGGGACATGACGTATACCGGTGCGGAGCGGTCGAGTTCTACGACAAGGCCTACAACCTGGTCACGTGCAAGAACGAGCGGCCCCTGCAGCGCATCAATCGCATCTTCCACAAGGTCACCACCACGGACGACCCCATCATTCGGCAGGTGAGGGACCAGCTGCTTGCCACATCTTCATAAGAGTGGCCTGTGGGGCGAGCTGGTTCGGCATCATTGCAGAATTTAGCGCAAAAACGGGGACGAAGAAAGAACCACATGAACACAGCTAACGTTTTTTGCTCTAAATTCTACTACAGTGCAGACCACTTATATTGAAAGACTGACTACAACGCAGTCATTTTAGACTCCTGTTTACTCTCTATAGACTGGTGTACAGACTGGTTTCAGTGCCGCCATATTGGGTTGTTGACCTTTGTGTTTTGCATCTTTGACAACTAAACAGTGTTATGATATTAAAACGGTTGGGTTGGTGAATACGCTCTTTCATGGCCATTTCACGTTGCAATACAGTCGAACCTCTTTATAACAGACCAATAGGTATAATATACACCAATGTGCCCACATGCCCCGCCACGGTGGTCTAGTGGCTAAGGTACTCGGCTGCTGACCCGCAGGTCGCGGGATCAAATCCCGGCTGTGGCGGCTGCATTTCCAATGGAGGCGGAAATGTTTTAGGCCCGTGTACTCACATTTGGGTGCACGTTAAAGAACCCCAGATGGTCAGAATTTCCGGAGCCCTCCACTACGGCGTCTCTCATAATCATATTGTGATTTGGGACGTTAAACCCCACAAATCAATCAATCAATCAATCAAGGTGCCCACATTAAATAAAGTACGAGTTGATACGAGAAGGCAAATGCCTACAAGCTTATATAAACGACACTACTTGCTGTCCGCAGCATGCTCAGCGATGGAAAACCGGTGCTAACCTGCACCAACTAAAAATTACTGTGCCATACTGCTCCTAAAGGGTCTTTTTTGTCTAATTTGCGCCATTGCAGCGCCACAAGGTGGTTTTGGAACTGAAGGTAATGTTGACAGCACGCATCATGAGCGGATATTGCGTGATGGTCGCCATTTTGTACACTTGCGCTTCTGCTTTTGCGCTGCTACATTTGCTTACATTTGCTCGGCTGCACCGAATCAGCCGATCAGTTATTCCAACTTCTACGCGATTGTGCCTTTTCTGGCAGCCATTGGCAAAGAACGAAGGCAATGTGGCGACTACCCAAAAGCGGCCTGTGTGACTTGTCGCCGATAAAAAGCCTTTGTGTGTGGCGGAGTGCCGCTTTAAGCGTATACTGCTCTCTCTTAATAACCAGCGATTGCTTGAGCGCGCTGGTCGCTGCCGTCTCAGTCGTTGTGCAGGACCATGTTCAGTGTGCACAGCTTTGCGTAAACGAAAGTAGATCGCTGTGTCGGAGTTGAGCATTGTGGATCGCGGGCGCCGAGACGGCAAGCATAGCACACGCTTTTATGAGGCAACAGGCCAAATGTGCCTCTGTCTGCAGCCAAGGTCGCTAGAGCATCGCGTGCAGAAAGCTCCCATCGTCGTGTTAAAAGGCCACTCACCATGTTTGACAATTTTGAGGTGACAAGCACACAATGAGTACTTCGGGTGTTCATGATTATATCTGCTAAAATTCGCCATGCTACGCGCAATTTTAAGATGAACGCTGCTCTCCCTTCCTTTAGCGAGCGTGCGCCTAGAGAATGAGGGCCTGAGTACACGTACGAATTGCCCGACGCATACCTGCCAAGTGTCCCGGATTGGCCGGGAGACTCCTGGATTTTGACCGCTTTTTTTTTTGTAGTACGGCTGTCACCGAAATCTCCCGGAAATCGAAATATTTGTGCGTGATCTTGCCGCATTTACATAAAAGCAGTTCAATCCGCTCCAGGCTTTTTGAACCTACCCCATTTTATTATAAATGACTTTAAGGGGAGATTTGGGTTTACCGATTTTTTATTTTCACATGTTTTGATAAGATTATTACCTCTACTGTTACGAAAAAAATAATACAGGTCGAGACTTAGCTGGAAATGCTTTAAAATTGCATCTAAAGAGCACAAGGTGCCTGTTGAAAGGCCGAAAGTGTGCAGTCTTCGAGCACCTTGCCGCCGATAATGCGCCGCCGCTCGCCATCGTTGATCGCATGAGTCGAAGAGTCAAGCCTCACTCTTCAAATAACAACAGTTTCGCTCGTTGATGCAGCGCAAGAAATAATAAAAAGAAGCACTCTTCTGCGCTTTTTTTTGTGCGCTGCGACTGGCTTATCACATGGTACAAATCGGGGACTGCCATTGCACGCTGCGCGCCTGTATGTGCTGTGAAACCTATTTGCGGGGTCCATGTCTTGTTGTGCAGCCCAGCTGAACAATGCTTTTCTCGTGTAATTATCTTCGTTATGAAGGAAAAAAGGCATCGCTCGCAAGTGAAAGCTGTTGTGTGGCGTGCTCTGTAGGAATAGGCTACCAGCAGCTGGACCGCTTTGCGGCAGTTGTTGGCTTGCAAAAGCCAATGCATCAAAGTCATTCACGCTCGTCAGCCCGAAAGTTTGTGATGCGGCAATGGATGACGTCAGCGCCAATCTTGAGAGGTCGAAAGCGCTCGCAGTGAGAGAACTTAGCAGGGACGACATTGCGATTATGTACGGCGGTATGTGGCACAAACCGTCGGTGATAGTTTTCTCCCTTTTTAACTATCGACTCGTCTCTCTTACATCAATCCCATGCAAACTACTCGAACACATCATTTACACTAACTTGATGAGCTTTCTAGAATCTAATTCATTTTTTAGTCTACCAACACGGTTTTCGCAAAAATCATTCCTGTGAAACTCAATTAATCACCTTTACTAATGATCTCTGTTCTTTGTTGGATCGTGCGTCAGTAGTTGATTGCATTTTCATTGATTTCGCGAAGGCATTTGACTGCGTCTCCCACCCACTACTACTTTATAAACTCAGCAAACTGAGCATTGACCCTAACATTTTAAAGTGGATTGAATGTTTTCTGCAGAATCGCTTTCAATATGTAGCCGTTAATGATAACGAATCTCCTCACTCTCCTGTTACATCTGGTGTCCCTCAGGGATCAGTATTGGGGCCTCTTCTCTTCCATTATAATTTATATTAATGATCTTCCTGATACCATAAGCTCATCAATACGTCTTTTCTCTGACGATTGTGTTATATATAGAAATATATGTGAACCTTCTGATCCCTCACAACTTCAAACCGACCTTAACACAATTTCAGCCTGGTGCAACGCCTGGCTAATGAAACTAAACGTCGACAAGTGCAAATATATGAGGTTAACTCGAACAATCAAGCACACCCCTGTAAACACACATTTCTTGAATGGCTTCCCTCTATTATCGGTTACCACCTACAAATACCTATTATCGGTTACCACCTACAAATACCACCTACAAATACCGCGCTTTTGTTTTGCAGTCCGTCACCCAGACTTCCGCGCCCGGTTCGAGTGCTCGCAACGAAGCAGCCCTATGACGAAGGTTGAAGTTCCTACGCTGCCGCTGTCGGGCGGTCGTATCATGGCTTCTGAACTTTCTCAGGTTCACCGTCTGAGGCAGAAGGCTTGTGGGATGGACAGGCACCGTTGTGCGTAGCCGCCTGCCCATTAGAAGTTCTGCAGGGCTTTTCCCAAGTGGCCCCAAAGTGTCCCTGTACGCTAGGAGAGAAAGATATGGGTCCTTCGCTTTTGTAATGAGACCTTGATTGTCTGGACCATCCTCTCTACTTCACCATTTGCCTGGGGGTACCTTGGGCTAGACGTCACAGCGCGAAACCCGTAGTTGCGAGCGAACAACTTGTATTCCTGCGACACAACTTGCGCTCCGTTATCAGACATAACAACTTCTGGTATGCCATGTCTTGCAAAGAAACTTTTAAGGTGCGTAATGACAGTGGCACTCGTTGTAGATGATAACAAAGCAATCTCTGGGTACCTAGATAAATAATCTACGACTACCAAATACCATTTTTCTTGAACATGGCAGAGATCAGCTCCTAGTTTTTGCCAAGGACGCTGTGGAGTGGTTGTCGGGATCATTGGTTCTGGCTTTTGGTGTCTGTGCTCGGCGCATACGCGGCAATCGGTAACCAAAACTTTCAGCTGATAACTCAACCCTGGCCACCATACCGACTCCTTGGCTCGAGCTCTGCATTTTTCGATTCCCAGGTGACTCTCGTGCAAGCGTATCAAGACCTCTGCGCCCAATTTTCGAGGAATGACCAACCTCATACCTTTAAGTAGCATGCCTTCAGCAACTGTAAGTGTGGCTCTTTCCTGCCAATATGGACGCAAGACCACCGGAAGAGATGAGAATTTTGGCCACCCTTTCCGGCTGAATTTTACGAGTGCTTGACAAACTTCGTCAGCGGCTTGTTCTGCTTTCACTCTCTCGAAGAGGCTGGCCTCGACCGCGTTTGACAAGCATCCTGAAACGTGCTTGCTGACGTCCCTAATAGGCAGTGCATTATCAGTTTCTTTTCCCCGAATCGGGGCCCTTGACAACACATCTGCAGTAACTAAGCTCTTGCCCGGGACATGCACAACTTCATAGCTGAACCGCATGAGCCTCATGCGAAAACGCTGAATGCGAGGTGGCAAAACATCTAAAGGAGATTTTCCCAGCAAGGTTACAAGAGGTTTGTGGTCGGTTTCACACACAATTTCAAGACCTTTGATGTACCCTTCGAATCGTTCTGCCGCTCACGTCATTGCTAGTGCTTCTTTTTCAATCTGGGAATATCTGGTTTCGGCAGGCGTCAACGATCGCGATGCAAAGGCAACGGGTCGTTTTTCGTTGTTTGGTTGAACTTGCATCAGTACCGCCCCCAAACCGAATGATGACGCATCGGCGGAAAGAACCGTAGGGTACTTTGCATCATAGTTAGCCATGACGCGCGCCGAACCGATAACGTCTTTAACGTATGACAGCGCTTGCTCTTGGGCTGGTCCCCACGTCCATTCAGAACTCTTCAAAAGCAAGTGACGTAACGGCGCCGTTTTTGAAGCCAAATCTGGTATGAATCTTGCCAGATGATTAGTCATACCGAGCAGCCGTCAAACGTCAGACACGTTATTTGGCGTCGGCAGTTCTTTGATGGCCCGGAC